CATCACAGTCCCTGCCGTTGATTAAGTTCTTACCGTATTTCACGGAGTCTGGGCATGCCTTCTTTCTTTTATATCTTAATGTCTCTGAAACCAGGATGCATCATACAAAAAAATGGTGTGTCATAATTAACTGGCAGTGTTTTCTTTCTTAGAAGTTCATAAAATATAATCCAGAGTCTAATACTCAAGAAATAGGATGTAGTAGGGCAGGCTCTCTGCTGAGTCCTGTGTTTACATTCCTCCTGTAATCCTCATAACATCTTACAAGTTATCAGCTGTGGTGAGCCCTGCCTCCCAGATAAGTTTGAGGTGTGGAGTAGGACGGTCCCTTGCTCAAGGTCACAGAACTAGTTAAGGGCAGACTGGGGATTTCAACCTATGCCACTTCAAACTGGGGAGATCTTACTGCAAAGCAAGACCAAGTCTGGGACCTGGAGGGTGGTGGCCTTTCCTCCCTCAGCCCGACGCGACCAGGTCAGCAGCGAACACCATCACCGCCCAGTGCTACCTCTTGGCACCCAGCGCCAGTCCGCCTCTTGGCCTTGAACCCCGGATTCTTTTCTCCCTCCCAGGAGGGCTCCGGGTCCCACATCTGCGGTGACCTCCCTCCTCCATGAAGAGGAGGGGGCCGGAATGAGGTCTCGGGGTAAAGGGGGGAGACATTCCGAGCCCAGCTGGTTTCCGTCACACAATGCAGATTTGCTTAAATGGGAATTAGGATCAGTGCTGGATTTTGCCTCTCCTGGCAGACTGGTAATAAACTAATCTCCTCTGCAAGAAAGCAAAATTCCTCCGAAGACAGGAGACAGCTTCAGGCTCGGGAGTGCAGAAGCCGGAAAGTAATTTTGTTATTGATGGGTCTACCCGCACCGCCTGACACGCAGCCCCCAGCTCCTTCCCCGTGTGGCCGCGGCCTTTAATTTCGTTAATGTGTGACATTCACCCAGGCTGTGTGGCTGACAGGCATGCTTGACATTAATACGTGTTCCTCGCGGTCCCCAGAGCTCATAAAAGCTCATTATCAGTTCTGAGCCCGTAAATGTAGTTCCTGGCTCAGGTGGGCCCGAGTTCCTCAGAGACGCCTCCTGGGCAGTGAGGCAGCAACCAGCTGCAGGAGCCAAGGAATCATCCGCTTCCCCCTTTGTCCAGGGGACTCCTCTTCCCAGGCGACCGGGAGGTGACCGGAACAGCCCTTCTGCAGACAGAACCCTGGCTTCCAATTTGCATTCCAGAAAGAGGGCCCCTTCTGCCCTTCGATGTGTAGAGAATAGGGAAGGTGGTTTGTCTGCAAGTCTTCAGAGGTAGAACGTTCGGAGCCTCTGCCCAGCCGTCCCACTTGGAATTGCATGGACATCTCCACACAGATGTGAGGGTCATTGCAAGGTTGTAATGGCTGGAGACAGAGACGCGCCCATATCCATGGTGAGGAGGAAACTATTCTAGTCCACACCTACCGCGGGGCACCGTGCAGCTGTGGAAAAGACTCAAAAGGTCTGTATATCGCACAGTCCCGGGCACACGTGATACCCCTGATAAGTGGCATTACAGAACATCTGTGGTGAGGTCCCATTTGTACAAAGTCACACACACTGTCTGCATGTGGGCTCACGTGGGCACATGCTCACAGGTGTGTGATTACTTAGGACGAGATCTAGAAGGTCACAGTACAGTCTATGCAGAGGTTCTATCTGTGAATTAGGATGCATGGGTAAGGAAGGATTTTCAATGTGTAGTTAATGAAAATTGTATGATACATATATGTAGGCACATGTACATGTGTATGTATATATATCAAGAATTCCTCTGATTAGCCTTAGTCTGGCCCCCAGTGCATGAGATCCCCGAGGTGGACATCGCCTGGATGAGTGAAGCAGTTGGAAGTCATATCCTCTGGCCAGGCCCTGGTCCCCGTCAGTCAGCAGAGGTCTAGGACGCCTCTGGCCAGGCCCTGGTCCCCGTCAGTCAGCAGAGGTCTAGGACGCCTCTGGCCAGGCCCTGGTCCCCGTCAGTCAGCAGAGGTCTAGAACGCCTCTGGCCAGGCCCTGGTCCCCGTCAGACAGCAGAGGTCTAGAACGCCTCTGGCCAGGCCCTGGTCCCCATCAGACAGCAGAGGTCTAGAATGCCTCTGGCCAGGCCCAGGTCCCCGTCAGTCAGCAGAGGTCTAGAACGCCTCTGGCCAGGCCCTGTTCCCGTCAGTCAGCAGAGGTCTAGGACGCCGCTGTGAGTGCAGAGCCCTGGTCCCGTCGGTCAGCAGAGGTCTAGAACGCCTCTGGCCAGGCCCTGGTCCCCGTCAGACAGCAGAGGTCTAGGACGCCTCTGGCCAGGCCCTGGTCCCCGTCAGACAGCAGAGGTCTAGGACGCCTCTGGCCAGGCCCTGTCCCCGTCAGTCAGCAGAGGTCTGGGACGCCGCTGTGAGTGCAGAGCCCTGGTCCCGTCAGTCAGCAGAGGTCTAGGACGCCGCTGTGAGTTCAGAGCCCTGGTCCCGTCGGTCAGCAGAGGTCTAGGACGCCGCTGTGCGTGCAGAGCCCTGGTCCCGTCGGTCAGCAGAGGTCTAGGACGCCGCTGTGCGTGCAGAGCCCTGGTCCCGTCGGTCAGCAGAGGTCTAGGACGCCGCTGTGAGTGCAGAGCCCTGGTCCCGTCGGTCAGCAGAGGTCTAGGACGCTGCTGTGAGTGCAGAGCCCTGGTCCCCGTCAGTCAGCAGAGGTCTAGGACGCCGCTGTGAGTGCAGAGCCCTGGCCCCGTCGGTCAGCAGAGGTCTAGGACGCCGCTGTGAGTGCAGAGCCCTGGTCCCCGTCAGTCAGCAGAGGTCTAGGACGCCGCTGTGAGTGCAGAGCCCTGGTCCCGTCGGTCAGCAGAGGTCTAGGACGCTGCTGTGAGTGCAGAGCCCTGGTCCCCGTTGGTCAGCAGAGGTCTAGGACACCTCTGGCCAGGCCCTGTCCCCGTCAGTCAGCAGAGGTCTGGGACGCCGCTGTGAGTGCAGAGCCCTGGTCCCGTCAGTCAGCAGAGGTCTAGGACGCCGCTGTGAGTTCAGAGCCCTGGTCCCGTCGGTCAGCAGAGGTCTAGGACGCCGCTGTGAGTGCAGAGCCCTGGTCCCGTCAGTCAGCAGAGGTCTAGGACGCCGCTGTGAGTGCAGAGCCCTGGTCCCCGTCAGTCAGCAGAGGTCTAGGACGCCGCTGTGAGTGCAGAGCCCTGGTCCCGTCGGTCAGCAGAGGTCTAGGACACCTCTGGCCAGGCCCTGTCCCCGTCAGTCAGCAGAGGTCTGGGACGCCGCTGTGAGTGCAGAGCCCTGGTCCCGTCAGTCAGCAGAGGTCTAGGACGCCGCTGTGAGTTCAGAGCCCTGGTCCCGTCGGTCAGCAGAGGTCTAGGACGCCGCTGTGAGTGCAGAGCCCTGGTCCCGTCGGTCAGCAGAGGTCTAGGACGCCGCTGTGAGTTCAGAGCCCTGGTCCCGTCGGTCAGCAGAGGTCTAGGACGCCGCTGTGAGTGCAGAGCCCTGGTCCCGTCAGTCAGCAGAGGTCTAGGACGCCGCTGTGAGTGCAGAGCCCTGGTCCCGTCAGTCAGCAGAGGTCTAGGACGCCGCTGTGAGTGCAGAGCCCTGGTCCCGTCGGTCAGCAGAGGTCTAGGACGCCGCTGTGAGTGCAGAGCCCTGGTCCCGTCGGTCAGCAGAGGGCTAGGACGCCGCTGTGAGTGCAGAGCCCTGGTCCCGTCGGTCAGCAGAGGTCTAGGACGCCGCTGTGAGTGCAGAGCCCTGGTCCCGTCGGTCAGCAGAGGGCTAGGACGCCGCTGTGAGTGCAGAGCCCTGGTCCCATCAGTCAGCAGAGGTCTAGGACGCCGCTGTGAGTGCAGAGCCCTGGTCCCGTCGGTCAGCAGAGGGCTAGGACGCCGCTGTGAGTGCAGAGCCCTGGTCCCGTCGGTCAGCAGAGGGCTAGGACGCCGCTGTGAGTGCAGAGCCCTGGTGCTGGCATCTGCAGAGCAGGCCTTGAGCTCATGCCCTCCTGCTCACACCTCTTCACTGTGGAGATGGCACTTGCACCAGGCTTGACTTCCCAGGGACCTGAGCTCCAGTCCTGGTTCGGCTCCTTTTCAGTGGTATGACCCTGGGCAAGTTATTTAATTCCTCTGAGTTCATGGTCCTCTTCCCTGAAGTGGTGAGACTTTCTTATCGGACCGGAGGGTATCAGGACGATTGTCAGCATCGTTTGAGGCCACCTGAAACTTGGTCAGGGCTTCCACTGTGCAGCCGGTCCTGAGGGCGGCAGGGTTGGGAGAGGAGATGGGGAACTTGGCTCCCCTGTCCGAGCTAAGTCTTGCTCTTGTTTCTCAGCTGTGCATGTGAATAACCTGGTCCCCTGGGACTGGCCTGCGCTTTGGCAGGCAGGTGTGCGGCCTGGACATGGTGAATCCGACCCTTCTCCTGTGACCTGGGGACTCAGGCAGACTGGCAGAAAGAGGCTTGGGGGGGTGGCTCCTGCATCCTAGGGCTGAGTTGTTTTTTTCACCACCAAAGACCCCTCCTCTTATTACTTATCTCTTCCTGGATACCAGATCTCGGAAGTTTTGTTCTGCCCAAAGAGCCTGCATTCACCAGGCGATGATTAATTCTCTTTCACATCTTCAAAATTACTCGGAAAGCCTTTTTTCCACCTCAGGAAAATGGATTTCCCACACCAAGTTGATAATATTCTAGCGAGAAGCAAAGCAACGTGATGCGATGTTGTGATTAGCTTGCTCTCGAAGTCATCACGCGGACACCGCACGGGCTCCTGGGCCGATTTGAGGATGGGAAAGACGCCTCAATCCCCAGGCGCCGGGGCTGCCGTCCCGTCCTGGGAGCCTGTGTGGGCTGGGCGCTTAGGTCTGGCTGCTGCACCTGCAGAGGTGGAAGGAGGGAGTGGACACCTCAGGGAGGGGGTTCGCATCTGGACCGAGCTGGCCCCCGGAAGCCCCCCCCGCCCGCTACCCCATGTCTTCTTAAAATGTGTTTCTTTCTCTGCTCTCTCTAGAGTTTCTCCGGAAGCCACCATCAGAAAGAGACCTCGAGAGAATCTTGGCACCCCGAAAGGAAAAGATACCATTTGAAAGAGGTATGACTTTGGCATCATGGTGGAATGGCATCTCAACTCATTCTGATAAGAGGGTCTAATCTCTCCTCTCCCTGCCCCACGCTCTCCCTTTCGGACAGAGAGAGCTCTCAGCTCGTGCTGGGGAATGCAGGGCAGGTGAAGGGCGGCTTTGCTCGTGTCCCCCCCCCAGATGTTTGTTCCGGGATGGGGAGCAAACGTGAGGGGTGAGGAGAGAGAGGCTGATGCTCAAGTGGGGTCTCATGAGGCTGGCTGCTGCCCATTGAGGAGACTGCAGGTCACGTTGCTCCTGAGTCCATGCAGGACGGGGAGGTTGAAGGATGGGAGGTTGTGAGCCCTCCGAGGGAAAGCAGAGGCCTTGGGGGCTCCTGGAGGGCTGGGCCTGTGTTGAGGACCCCTGTCCCGCCTCCCCTCCCCCACACGCACCACGGTCTTGGGATTGGGGGAAGGAGATACCTTCCTAAAGTGATTCATCCACCTCCTCATCCCAAGACTCTTGCATCAAGTTCACATTCCGTGATGGAGCCGAGAAGGGAAAAGCCCTGGTGGACTTCTGGGGCTCTGGGAGCTTCTTGGGCTGCCCGTGATCTCAGGACATGGGGAGGTCTGGAGACCTTCTGGAAGGTTCCTGAATGAAGAGCCAGGACATCTGTGTTCTGGCCCAGTCTGTGCCACCCCTATGCCTCACGAGTCCTCATAAGCCATTTTTTCTCGTTGGCCATGTTTTCTCATCTGTAAAATGGGGCAGTGGTCACTGGAATCTCTGGTTCTGTCCTCCCGTCTTCCATTTCTGGGGTTCCAAGAGCAGGGCTGAACGAGGGGCGGCAGGCGAGGGGGGACATCGGAGAGGCAGGGATGGCGTCGGGGCTGGGGCAGGCCGTGGACAGGGCGTTTGAAAGCTCTGAGATCTGATTGCCCGTCCAGGTAGAGGACGACGTAGACCCTCAGTGGAGTGACCACAGGGTCTGAGGTGCAAGTGGAGCTGGGTTTGAGTCCCAGCTGATCAGCAGAGTCAGACACTCCCTGCGTCATCGTGTTTGGTCCTCTCCGTCGCCCCGTGATCTCAGCACTGTTGTCAACACCATCCTAGAGAAGAGAAAGCCGGGCATCAGAGAAGTCAGGTGACTTGCCCAAGGTCTCACCTACCCTACAATTCTAATGTATTTTGCTCACCAGCAGTGTGACTTGAGGCTTACGTTTCTATATAAATAGATTTGTTTTCTTGACCTAGAATCCTTTTTAAACTTTGGGCTCTTCATAAAATCTCTGTGGGTCTTGGTGGTCCGATCTCTAAAATGGGAGCATACCACCTACCCATGGGGTTGTTTGGGGGAGAAGACGAGGTGAGGAACACGCAGAAAGCTCCCCACACTGTTTCTTCCCAGCCCCCCACCTCTTACAACCCCAGGGCCGCCGTGGAGGTGGATGGGGCGTCCACACCGAGTGCCGTTCCAGCCGCCTGGTGGCATGTGCCGTTTCGGTTGCCTCTGGTGTCCATAGTGGGGAGCGCTTGGGCACTGTCCTCATCACTGATGCGACGGTCCCCTGGCTCCCAGCTCGTCCTCTCCCTTTCCGACCGCGCTGCCGGCTGGCCAGCGTTTTCCAGCTGGAGTCCAGGGCAGGGTGGCCGGCTCGCAGAGGCAGGTCAGGCAGGCCCGGCTGAGGCCCAGTGGACGGTGGCCGAGGGTGGCGCGGCCTGGGACCTGTGAGGGCGCCCTCTGCCCCTCAGTAGTGCCCACGCCCTGCAGCTCCCTCACTTGGCCAGTGCCCGGGGGCCATGATCTTAATTCTAAGCCTCCTGGCAGTGGCCGCTCTTATCCCCACAGGAAGCTGTTGCCTTATCCCAGAGCCCGGATCTTCTGGGCTTAATCAGGAGAGGCTCCAGGAGCCGCGGACGCTCCTGTAATCGGGAAGCGCGGGCTGGGAGGAAGGGAAAGACTAGGCACAGAGAAAGGAGCGGGCCTGCTGTTCCCGGTGCCTCCAGGGCTGCTGCGGGAGCAGGCGATTCCGCTCCGGCCTGTCGTTAGCAGGAAACTTCCCGAGTCACAGGGAGAATCCACACAGGCAGGCGCGTGCTGTCGCGGGAAACGTTTGCTGGGGTGTGGGAACCAGACCGGTGGACGCTGGCCCAGCTCTGCCTGCTGAGCACCTGTTTGACTCCAGCGAGTGATGTGGTCTCCGAGCCTCGGTTTTTGGCGAGTAGCACGCACCTCGCTGTGGCTGTGAGGGCGAGGAGCCTGCCGGCAGGACGTACCTGTTCGCTAGGAGCGATGGCGGTCCCCTGGAGTGATGTGGTCTCCCAAGGTGACCTCCTTGAAGAGGCTCAGGCTCTTGAGATGTGAGAGCGGGGTGTTTGTGACCGAACAGTGGGTTACCCTGGAGACACATACCTCTCTCCAAGCCTGGTCTAAAAAAGGTCTGAGTGGGGGCCTGGGTTGTGTCAGCTATCTGTACTGACACTCCTGGGTTGAAGGGCCACTTTGGGTATGAACAGCTCTTCCTGAGCCTTTAAAAAAAAAATTTTTTTTTCTTTATTGATTTTAGAGAGAGGAAGTAAGAGGGAGAGAGAGATAGAAACATCGATGAGTGAGAACATCCATTGGCCGCCTCCTGCATGCCCCTCACTGGGGATCGGGCCCACAGCCTGGGCATGTGCCTGGCCAGGAATCGGCCAGCGACCTTGTGCTGATGGGTCGACGCTCAACCACTGAGCCACACCGGCCGGGCTCTTCCTGAGCCTTTATCCATCCCATGGTTTATACTTGACCCTGATGATCTTTACTGGATCCTTTTTATAGATAATATCTGCTCCTCTCCACAACCCAAGAAGCAGGTATTAATAAAATTTTTATAGGTGAGGACAACTGGGGTTCAGGAAGTTGTAAATTACTTTAGGCTTCACCTCTAAAAGGCAGCAAGTTTATTGGGACCCAAACACAGGCCTCTTGCCCCAAAGACAGTGAGTTTGCCATAGCACCCCACAGCACCCCCGGGAGCCCATGTGGCACGCCTCCAGACCTGCACAGGCACCCTGTGTGTGTCCACAGCTGCACCCACAGCACCACAGTGGCCTCCCATGGTGCCAACGACAGTACCTCCACTGTGGCTCCCCACGGGGCCATAGAGGCACCCGTGGTGTCCATGAGGTACCCGCAGGACTCAGCATGACCCGTGGCACTCATGGTAGTGCCTCGTGTCCACAGAGCACCCTGCACCCACAGTGACACCCCAGGGTGCCCGTGGTGGCACTCTTCCCATGTTCTCACCCAGCCTCGCGGGACTTTGGAACTGAGGCAGACAGAGAAATCCCTGGTGTCTATCTGCCGGCCAGCCCTTTGCAACTGGCTGAGCTGGCTAGCCTCGGCAGGTTTTAGGAAGCATTAGGACCTTCCTCCTGCTGAGATCTGACAGTGGGATGTTATATTTAGGTCCCTGATTCATTTTGAGTTAGTTTTTGTAGTCTATGGTGTGAGTCAGGGGTCCAACTTCATTCTTTGGCGTGTGGTCATCCAGTTGTCCCAGGACCACTTGTGGAAGGGACTGTTCTTCCCCCATCGAGCAGGCTTGGCACCCCTGTTGGAAATCAGTTGGCCATAGATGTATAGGTTTGTTTCTGGACTCTCAGTTTCACTCCATTGGTCTATATGCAAATCCTTAGGCCAGCACCGTGCTCTGCTGACGTTTGGAGGAACATCAGTAGATTTTAAAGCGCTCAGGTGATTCCAAGGTTGCGCGTTACTGGTTTTTAGAGGAGGAGGAGGCACTATTAGGGTGCCCAGCTGGGAGGCTGCTGGAATGATCCAGGGCAGTGCAGGGGGAGAGGTCGCAGCCCTGAAGCAAAGCCACAGTCATGGCAGTGAAGAGGCCATTGTAGAGTTGAGAGAAGTAAGTGAGGGGGACGTCTTGACCCACCCTGATTCTGGGAGGGCCTTGGAGATGACAGAGATAACAGAGGCCAGTGGTCCAGCTGAGCTTGATTAAACTCCTGCCCACACCCAATGTGGTTTGGAGGAAGACCTGGGTCCCAGGCACAGCTCTGCTCCACCGTGTGACCTTGGGCAAGTTGCTCCACCTCTCTGAGCACCCTCTTTGTCAGGTGAACCACTCTTCTCTGCCACTCATGCAAAGGATTGGGTGAGGGTCAAACGGGTCAGCTCTACAAAACTGAAGGGGTTAAAGGCACCTGAATGTTTGGTAGAAACTCCACCCCAAAGTTCTCGCCAGGTGGTGGTCAGTATCAGCCTACCCGTGTCCGGGGACTTGGGGCTCAGAGCCTGCATTGCAGCCGGTGCTGTGTTGGGCTGGCTTGGGCTGGCTCTGATAGGTCGGAGCATCTCCTTGTGCTGAGCTGACATCCAGTCTCTTGTACCCTTTGTCTACTGGCCCCAAATCTGCCTTGTGGGCTGCATCACCCTTCTCCTCCAGGCTGTTCTGCATCTCCAGTTGGCACTTCTGCCAGCTGGCTGAAAGGTCGTGGTCACCTCTGCTTCCGTCTGAGGATGCTGGCGGGGAGCGTGGCTCTGCATCAGATGAATCTCAGGACTGTTTTAGCTAGTTCCGAGCTTGGGCTGATGAAGCCAGTTCACTGTCCTGTAGGTGGAGAGTCGCGGCGAGGGCAGACTTGTGGTCAAGATTCCGTGAGAGGACGGATGCCAGGCATGTTGTCCAGGGCCTGGGAAGGAGTCAGCATTCCAGACAACGGCGCATATCATTGCCATTGTCGTCTGAACACCACCCTTCGGTTTTCTCTAGTTCTGACTGCTGGGGTGCACAGGAAGGGGCAGCAGCCCCCGGGCCTCGTCTCCCTTCCTGGCTTCCCCCTCACTCAGTCGGGGATGCGGATGTGAGGGGGCCGGATGACAGGTTCTCACCACCCTAGTTTCCTGCTCATTCAGCCCAACTTCTGCCAGAACTTTCTGGCCTCAGGCCAGCCCCCCGTCCACATGTGACTCATGACAGCTCCCTGGTCCTTTTCTCCCTTCTTAGACATTTTCCATCCCAAA